CTACAGAGTGCGTTTCAGAGCAGCCAGGGCTACAAAGTGACAACCAATCTTAGAGAGAGGGGTGGGGAGAAGAGAGAAGTCATGGAAATCTGAGAAGACGCTCAATGAGTAAAGGCACCTGTCACCAAGCGTGGTAAAGTTCAGTCTCTAGGACCCACAGGTGGAAGGAGAGAACTAACTCTGAAAGTGGTCCCCTGACCTCCACATGTGCAGCCTGGCACACTCACATATGCATGCTCACAAAAGAAAACGTAATAAATAAAAAGCAATTTTAAGATGGACGTTGGTGGCACACGCCTTTAATCCCAGCACTCAGGAGACAGAGGCAGGCAAATCTCGAGTTTGAGGCCAGCTTGGTCTCCAGAGCGAGTACCAGGATAGGCTCCAAAGCTACACAGAGAAACCCTGTCTCGAAAAACCAAATAATAATAATAATAATAATAATAATAATAAAGGGCTGGAGAGATGGCTCAGCAGTTAAGAGCACTGGCTGCTCTTCCAGAGGAGCTGGGCTCGACTCCCAGCACCCACATGGTCTAAGTCCAAAGGATCCGAAGCCCTCTTTGGGGCTCCATGAACACCAAGCACACAGATGGCAAAACACAAATACACATAAAATAAAGATAATAAAACATAAATATATAAATAATGAAATTTTCAAAAATATATTGCATTAGTCATCTATATTTATAAATAAAAGATGGAGAGGCTGGAGAGATGGCTCAGAGGTTAAGAGCACTGACTGTTCTTCCAGAGGTGCTGAGTTCAATTCCCAGCAACCACATGGTGGCTCATAACCATCTGTAATGAGATCTGGTGCCCTCTTCTGGTCTGCAGGCACACATGCAGACAAAACACTGTAAATAAATAAATGTATCTTTAAAAAAAATAAATAAAAAATAAAAGAGGGAGAGCTATAGAGGAAAACACCAAATGGACAGTGCTGGCTGGTTTTATGTCAGCTTGACATGAGCTAGAGTCATCAGAGAGGAAGGAGCCTCAATTGAGAAAATGCCTCCATCAGATCCGGACGTAAGGCGTTTTCTTAATTAGAGATCAATGGGAGAGGGTCCAGCCCATGGTGGGTGGTGCCATCCCTGGGCTGCTGGTCCTGGGTTCTATAAGAAAGCAGGCTGAGCAAGTCAAGGGAAGCAAGCCAGTAAGCAGCACCACTCCATGGTCTCTGCATCAGCTCCTGCTTCCAGGATCCTGCCCTGTTTGAGTACCTGTCCTGACTTCCTTCAGTGATGAACTGCAATATGAAAGTGTAAGCTAAATAATCTCTTTCCTCCCCAACTTGGTTTTTGGTCATGGGGTTTCACTGCAGCAACAGAAACTAATTAAGACATTGATCTTTCACACACACACACACACACACACACACACACACACACAAACCACATACAGAGAGGAAGAGAGGGAGAATGAATGAGAATAAACTAGATTCGAATCCATCAGAATCCGTCACAGCACACATTTTTGTCCTGTTTTGTTTTTCAAGACACGGTTTCTCTGTGTAGCTTTAGAGCATATCCTGGCACTCGCTCTTGAGACCAGGCTGGCCTCGAACTCACACAGATCCACCTGCCTCTGCCTCCCGAGTGCTGGGATTAAAGGCGTGCGCCACCAACGCCCGGCACAGCACATATCTTTATAGCTGTCCTCACACATGCCCCACGTGGACAAGTAATGGGTTATTACCATCCCCACATAGAAAGCACTGTTCGTAACTGTAGGTGTTACATTTTCAGACAGCTGTCTGCGCATTGTCACACAAGCCAGAGTGTCTTGCTAGGACATCACTGGGTGACACTTTCTCAGCCAGGATCATCTCACAAATCCACCACGGCATACGAAGTTCACTGTTGAGCAAAATACTGATCCTTAAAATGTGACTATAGTTGGACACCCGAGTTGAGCTTCATTAAAAACAGGCTACATGTAAGTCCTCTCCTAAAGGATGAAAAAACCCAGTGCCTGCACAGCCCTGATTAATGGAGAGCGAGAATGGAAGGCTGTTTAATTCTCTCCCTCCCTGACTCCAGAAATGCTTGATTTGGCTGTGTAAAAGTAATTCTAATTATAGTGATTTACATGAACTACTTATCATTTATGCCTAATTACCTCCCAGCACAATAACAATTATGCATACATTAAATGTGTCAGATTAACCTGGTTGTAAGTTTTATTTGGTAACAATATGTCCACAAGCTCTCATTCCTCACAGTCCACTGCTCCTGGGGCAGAGGCAAAGCTCTGAACTTCTTCAAATGTTTACCAGAGAAAGCATGGCCAGGTGAGGGAGGTATGTTCCCTTTTAATGTGATAGTGCAGACTTGCAGAAATTTCTTAGGACTACGGGAGAGGAAAAGAAAAGTGCACCAAAAGAAACCACTACACATCTGCACGGAGAACAAACTCAAAGTCCTCAAAATCACTTGTCTACGGCCGAAGAAGAACTCTACAAACATCATCTGAGAACTGAGACTCACTCAGATCCCCTTCTGTGAGAACTGGCAGATTCTCATGCCTTTCTTTTACTCCTTTGTATTGAAAAGAAATAGTTCTGTAGTTTACTTACAAATATTCAAAAAGGTTTCCTGTGTGTTTTCTCAGGTTATGTCAGATGTCTGAGTCCTGGGCTGAAGAGACAGCTCAGTCAGCAAAGAGTTCAAATCCCCAGAACCCACAGAACCCACACAAAAGCCAAGCACCTCACTCTACATCTGTAATGGCAGTGCTAGCCAGGGAGGTGGAACAGGATGATCCGGGGGTCTAGTCCAGGCAATCAGGCTAACCCCAGCTGCAATGGGAGATCCTGTCTCAAAAAGGAAGGGGGATGGAAGCTGGTCTCCAGAGCGAGTGCCAGGATATGCTCTAAAGCTACACAGAGAAACCCTGTCTCAAAAAACAAAAAACAAAAAAACTTCTTTCATTGGGGTTTTCTCCTTTAAGTTTATTTGTTTTTGTCTATTGGGATTTTTTTTTTGTTTCATTTTTTGGTTTTGTTTTTTTTATGTGTAGGTGAGTATCTGCACCAATGCATGCCATGTGTGAAAACATGCCCTCACCAGCCAGAAGAGGGCATCAGATACCCCAGAACTGGAGTTACAGGCAGTTGTAAGCCACCTACATAGGTAGTGGGAACCTAACCCCGGTCCTCTGGAAGAGCTACAAGTGCTCATAACCACTGAGCCATCTCTCCAGCCCCTCATCAGAGTTTTAAACAAACTACCAGTGCCCCTTTTCTAACAACCTTAAATGAAAGAATGGTTAGGTAATGGAAAGCAACAGAGTGGTGACCAGTCAATTAGGGGAAACTATTTCTCAGGTGTGCAGCTCTCTGACTATTGAAGACACTTCCACAGTAGGATACAGAATGAATTTTCCTATTGCAGCTGAATTTCAGCAAAACCTCAAAGCAAAGAACAGGAAGCAAGTGCTCCATCCACCCCAGGAGAAGCTTACACCCACACAGGGTTATTTTGGAACAAATACATAAGCAGTTCGGGCATGGTGGTACACTCCTGGTGCTCAAGGGTTAGAGTACCTACCTATGAGGTTTAATCCCCATGTACTACCAAAAGGAAAAAAAAAATTGTGTAAGAGTTTGAAGCCAGCATGGTCTACACAGCAAGACCTGTCCACTAATTAATTAGCTGATTAATTAATAAGAAATAAAAAGGCAAAACACCTTAAAACCAAAGAGTGATCAAGGCAGAAAGTTGTTAGCTGGGTAAGGAGTACAGGGAGGGTCCCAGGAAAAGCATCCAAAGGCTAGGGCTGGGAATAAAAGGAGCTCACCCTCCCAGGTGAATGAGGAATGCCACAGGCAGCTACCACAGCGGGATTCGCAAGTGCCTGTGGGTGCGCCTGACATTAATCCTCAGAAATATAAGGGCATGGAGGGCAAAAAAATCTGGTGCCTTCTTCTTGCCCACAGAAGTCCAGGCTGGGGACTAGAAGAGTAGCTCAGCGGCTAAGAGCACTGGCCACTCTTAGAGAGGCCCTAGGTTCGGTCCCCAGTACCCGCACGGCTGCTCATAACCATTTGTGACTCCAATTGCAGGGACTGTAATGCCCTCTTCTGTCCTCCACAGGCATGCGTACCCTACATGCAGGCAAAAGACACACACGTTTTTGTTTTGTTTGTTTTGATTTTTAGGAAAAAGAAGAAAAGAAGAAATCCAGGGTAACTAAAGCACTCCGTGCTACAGGAGTTGTAGAAACAAAACCTTATGTACCCACAGCCTCGGAGGATCCATAAAAAGGGTCCAGGGAGAGCGTCCTGAAAGGACAAAAACTGGCTGCGAGCAGAAGGGTGGTCTCAGCAAAAAAGCAAGGGTGGGAGGGGTTTCTCCAGTCACAAGAAGGCAGTCAAAGCCGGACATTGGTGGTGCACGCCTTTAATCCCAGCACTCGGAAGGCAGAGGCAGGCGGATCTCTGTGAGTTCGAGGCCAGCCTGGTCTCCAGAGCGAGTGCCAGGATAGGCTCCAAAGCTACACAGAGAAACCCTGTCTCGAAAAACCCAAAAAAAAAAAAAAAAAAAAAAAGAAGAAGGCAGTCAAAGGCTGGGACACCATGAAAGTCCCCAGCAGAGGCTTTTGGAAGCCTCCAAAGTGTCCCTTAACAAAGCGCTAACAGCAGCACCTACTATTAAAGGAACTAAGATTGCTGTCTACCCTACTCTGGTATCCTACGTCCGGCCCTCAGAAGCATAGCAAAGGAGGAGAGAAGGACACTTGGTCTCACGCCCTTCCACCACATTCCAGGGTGAGGCTTGAGGACTGGGACGGGGATGCGGGTGGGGTTGGGCCGCATAGAAGCTTCATTTAGCTAGGCCTACACGATTTAGTAGCTATGAAGCTGTTTGAACCCGGGAAGGTAAGAGAAGACACAAGAACATCAGAAGGGCAGGAACCGGAATCCACCAAGCTAAGGCAGCTTTGGGGTCATCCTTCCAGCACTGAATCCATTTTAGAAGATGTGAAAGCCTCACCTTGGGGAAGAGCCCTGCTTCCTCTATGCTGTACCCTTTCAGGTCCTCCAGTAACTTCTGCAAACATTGAACCACTCTTCTTTGATGTTCATCGTCCCGCAGCTCCTGAGCTTTGATCAGAAAGTCATAGTGGTCCAGAGGTCCACGGCAAACAGCCAAAGCTTTTGAATGGACCACAGAAGCCGCTGTTGGGCGCAGGCCTTCGGATGTCTGGGCTGTGTAGGCTATAAACAAAAACACACAAGGGTTTAGACTTCATTCACCCATTCCTTCGTGCTTTCATTTAGACAAGGTCTCAGGTAGCACTTGAATTCCCTACATAGCTGAGGATGACTTTCAGCTTCAGGTGCTCCTTGCCTTTATCTTCCAAGTGGGGGAACAACAGGCGATTTGGTCCTTGCCCCTGGTTCTTGTCAAGAGTTCCCAAAACCAGTTCTCAGAACATCCTGAGTAGGTTCTGGAGAGATGACTTGGTGGTTAAGGAGTGTGGAGCCGATTCAGTTTCCAGCACTCATACTGGGGTGCCTCACAACTGTAACTCTATGGGGGGGGATCTGATGCCCTCTTCTGACCACTGATAGTACTGCACTCAAGTGACACACAGTTATACACATATACACCTAATTTTTAAAAGAATCTAAAGGGGCCAGGTATGGTAGTACACACCTTTAATCTCAGGACTCAAGAGGCAGACATAGTCAGAGCTCTGTCAGTTTTAGGCCAGCCTGGCCTTATAGCAAGTTCCAGGCCAGCCAGAGCTATAAAGTAAGGCCCTGTCTCAAAAAAATGTTAAGGGAACAGGAGCAGTGGCTCAGCAGTTAAGAGCAGGAACTGCTTTCCAGAGGGTCAGGTCCCAGCATCCACAGCAGGCAGCTCACAATGCTCTGTTACTCCAGTTCCAGAGAATTCAACAGTATCTGGCCTCTATGGTTACCTGCACACTCATGGTGCATATAAAGTAATGCAGGCATGCATACATACATGTAAATAATAAATTAATCTTCTTGTTTTTAAAATATCTTTTACAGAAGAGTTCCCTGAGTGGTGTGTCTTCTGTTATTCATAGCAATCTCCTTCTGACTTGGACAGCTTCAAAACAGGGATGCACAGAACTCTGGGGAGGGCAGGAGAGAGGACTGGAGGTTGAGCTTCGCAAGGACTCATAAACAAAGAGACCTGGGAGTTTCCCAATCACTGGACACAGCTATGCACCGAGAGGTGGTTTGCCTGCCTCATGCTCTCTTCCTTTCCACTTCCCAGGATTGCACCTTCATGCTAAATGAGTCACAGCCTGAGTTATGTGAACTATTCCAGGTAATCAGCAAACCTGAGGTGGGAAAGGGTACAGAAGTCCTTGAATATATGCCCTGCCAGGCAGAGATGTGGGTAAGCAGGGCATCCCGTTTGCAGCTGGCGTATGAAGGCATCCACTTCATGGAACTCAGCCACACTTGGAAATCTGCTCTTCACTCCCAGCAGACAGTGTCAGCATTTAATTGACTCTTGGACTTGCAGCTGATATTTAAAGATTTTAGAAGTGGGGTGGTGGTGGTGATGCACACCTTTAATCCAAGCACTCAGGAGGCAGAGGCAGGTGATCTCTGAGTTTGAGGCCAGCCTGGTCTACAGAGTGAGTTCCAGGACATCCAGAGCTACACTGAGAAACCCTGCCTCAAAAAAAAAAAAAAAACAAAAAACTGAAAACAAAAGAATTCAGAATCTCGTAATCAGAGAAAAATGCTCTTCTCACTTAATTTTCTGGAGTTTAACCAATTAGTAAAGTCCAAAGCAATATCCCTTTCCCTCCTTCCTATAACCTCTTCCCTTATGAATACTCAATTCTACATCCATTCCCTCCTCCCCTTCCCCACACGCCACCCTTGCTGGGACTCTGACTATCACTTGTTTGGTTGTGGCCGTTGTCCCCCTCATCACCTCACCAGCACCCACTACCTAGAACGCCTTCCACGACTGCAAATGTAACCCCATCAACATTGTGTTTGTGGCAACAGACAAAACTTCGACCTATCCAATGCCTTTAATTGACTTTCTTTGCAATTCTAGAATCAAGTTAACTCTTTTTCCATAAAATTCTGTTTGTGTTCCAGTGAGCTGGGCAGAAGAGGTTGGTTTCATAAAGTGCTGAAGAAGCCAGAAACAAAACCAAAAGCAACCTGCTATAAACTTTGGCATTCTGTTTAATGAGTGATTTCTCATAGTGCCAACTTTTTTATATACAAAACCCTTCCATTCAGTTTAGGCCTAGCAAGATGGCTTAGTAAGTAAAGACACTTGCCTTGCAAGCCTGATGACCTGAGTTTGATCCCTGAACCCTTATAGAGATGGAATGTGGGTTGTCCTCTGATCTCCACATACTTGCCGTGGCATATACAGGCTCACACATGTATATCAACCACACACATAATAATAAAGTTTAAAATTCTCAATTTATTAACAGAAAGTAGAAAGGGAGGAACATGTCTATACTCATATATTATAACTCCCATTTCCCATCAGCCCCCTGCCACTTCCCCACCTTCTAGGATCACTTTAAGTACAAATAGCATGCAAGGGTTAACATAGCAGGCCTAAGGCTGCTATCCACAGAAATACCTGTTTGCAAGACTGGCTCTTGACAACAGTTGAGTTAAGAGGGGGAGGGGGGATGGAGGGCAGGATCATCGAAGCCAAAAAAGTAAAGAGTGACACTCTATAAACAATGCCATTCTAATGGATATCTACTCTCCTTCATTAGATCAGAAATACTGGAATATGTTAGGCAACAGGTACCTATGTAACCACAACCATAAAACCTTATGCTGGGGCTGGAGAGATGGCTCAGAGGTTAAGAGCACCGACTGCTCTTCCAGAGGTCCTGAGTTCAATTCCCAGCAACCACATGGTGGATCACAACCATCCATTATGAGATCTGGTGCCCTCTTCTGGTGTGCAGATATACACAGAAACAGAATGTTGTATACATAATAAATAAAATCTTTAAAAAAAAAAAAAAAAAAAAAACCTTATGCTGGGCCAACAAGATGGCTCACCTGGCAAAAGCCCTTGCCACCAATTCTGATGATGTGTGTCTGATCCCTAGAAAGTGCATAGTGGAAGGAGAGAGAGCCCACTTTCACAAGTTGTCCTCTAACCTCCATACATGGGCCTATGTGTCACTATGTGGACCAGGGTGGCCTTGAACTCACAGAAATCCTCCTGCCTATGCTCCCTACAATTGGATGAAATGTGTGCACCACCACATCCCACTAGATATTTTTGAATCTTCTGTCTTTGTAACTTTCAAATATCTTGTCCTCTCATTAATGACTACTGTACTATTTCATCAGTTTTCCCCTCTACTTCCTACTAGTTGCTTTTTCTTTCTTCTTTCTTTTCATTTGTGTTTCAAAACAAGGTCTCACTATATAGCACAGACCATCCTCCAGCTCACAATCCCCTCTTTCTCTCTGACTTCTAGACTCTGGGATTACCAGCGTGTGTCACACACCAGGTTTTCTACCCTTCTAGACTCTGGGATTACCAGCGTGTGTCACACACCACTCTTTTTTTCTATCCCTCATCTCCCATCTATTTTAAAAATGTTAAAAATAACAACAAAGCATCCTGAGCCCCATTGTGGTGGGACATATGCCCTCCTCCCTTCCTGTCACTGTCACTGGTCACATCCTGTTCACTCCAAGCCTGTGATGACAGGCCTTGATGAGATGGCTTCTGGCAAGGCCCCCCAGGGCCCATTGTCACCAAATTCGGCAGCCACCCCTAGGTCTTCCTATCCCCACTTTCATTTGTAAACTATTTCCCTTCTAAAGATTGTGCATAGGAAGGCCTGGAGACAAAGCACTGTGTCCTCGGCACCCAGCTTTGGAAAGCTTAGCATCCTTTATTGCTTTTATTATTACTTACCAGTCATCGTTTCTTATGTGTATATATTCTCCTTTTTTTGAAAAAGAAAATAAAGGAGAACTAAGGAAGAGGCAAATGTGAACACAGCCAGTCACCCAGAGGAAAAAAAAATTCTCTCTGCAAGACGCTCAAGGCTGCAACTGGGCAGTCTCGCCCTGGATAGCAGCTGTATAAACTGAAATACAAAAGACTTTGCCAAAGCTGCACTAAATTAAATCTGTTCCTACACCAGTGTACACAAATTATGTGATGCTGCTACCATATTATTTTGATTTGTATTAATTTGTCTTATTGTACTCCAAATGGACATTGGGAAAATGCCATTCTGAAGTTCCATACACTAATCTACAAACAAAAAGGGAAGTGCAATGATATATTACTTATGATTTATTAAAGCCTGACTGAGGACTTGGAAAGCAAAGTCAGTCACAAGCCATAGAAGTCAGGCACACACCTTTAATCCAGAAGCCAGAGCTAGGAGGTGGTGGTACACACCTTTAATCCTAGGACTCAGGATTAAGAGATAGACGATGACCTCTGAGTCCAAGGCCTCCCAGGGATACATAAGAGTGAATCAGCCTAAAAGAAAATCATAGCTCACACCTTTAATCCCAACATTAGGGAAGTACATAAGACAGAAGCAAGGTCTCAGAGAGGCATTCGCTCTCCAGCCACACTGAGGAGTGGTGGCAGTTTGAGACTTGGTGACGAGCTGGTGTGTCAATCAGCCCTTACAGCCAGAACTTGAGGTGAAAGCTAGTAGCCAGCTGCTTTGCTTTTCTGATCTTCAGCTTGAAGTCTGAACCCCAATATCAGTCTCTGGGTCATTTATTTATTCATGTTACAGGGAAGACCTGTAGAAGCCCAAAAGAATCTGTGTTGCTCTTTCTAACACCTCAGTGTTGGATCTTCTGTCACCACTTTCTACAAGCCAAGTTTTTGGAAGCCTCCACTATACTCCATAGCTCACTGGCTATATATTTAGTCAGAACTGGTGCATGCAGCTACATGGGGGACAGGGGTGTGCAGAAACAGAGAGGGAGGTGATTAAAACTAGAGTACCACTGAAGGCTAAATAAACTGCCAGAGGCCACATCATTTTACAACAGCAGCAGCCACAAACTGCCAACCTTTACTGAATACTTGCTATATACCAACTCATTTCATCTTCACAACCACCCTGTGAGGTAGATACTTTATCTGAGCTTCAAAGATAAGGAAACTGCTGAGCTGCTCAGCACTTGGGAGGTGGTAGTAAGAGCATCAGGAGTTTAAGGGCACCCTAGTTATACAGTATGTA